GGTGCTTCATTGATGATAACCACACACGCAAGTGTTGTCCAGAGTATGCAGGATAAGGCAAAGGATAGTTTGTTTTTGTTTGGAATTTTATAGCATAAACGTAGGATAAAACTTCCAACCATGTCATCTTTTGACCTTGCAAGGCCATGATCTCTGCTTTACTAGAATGAAATCTCTTTCAGTGTTGACCTTCCCATTCCAGCACCAGCAGGAAGCACAGGCGAGGGCACTATGAGTAGCATTAGAAGAGAATTCACACTGTAAAAATAATATTCATTCCTCAGCTGGTGGAACCAATGGCTAGAACCAGAAAACCAGAAAAATGATGCCTCCACTGGAGGCAAGGGAGTACATATCCTAGAATGACCCATTGAGATTGCAGAGCAACTGTGTCAAAAATGCTTGGAGGAGAGACGAAGCTATCTTATCAGGACATATTACAGACCTATTATTAAGATATATTAAGTCCTATTACCAACCTCCTTTTTTCTCTCTTCCTCCCTTTACCAGATTTTGCTCCAAATTCTTAGTTATTACATTTCCTGTACAGATAAAAAAATTTAAAGAACTCCCTTTTTACTTGACACCTGCTTTCTCTCTCTCTCTGGCTTCCTCTCTCTCTCTCTCTCTCTATTCTGTCAATATCTCTGTATCTCTCTATTCTGTCTATGTCTCTGTATCTCTCTCTGTCTTCTATCTCTGTCTCTGTATCTCTCTCTCTTTCTCCTTGGTCTCTCTCCACTTTTGCATTCTGACATCCTTCACTCAACTCAACATATTAATATCCACACCCAAACTTAGGATATATCTCTCCCAAAGACAGTGAGGAACTTTATATAAGAACCAGTTTATCTGAGGGAAGTAGTTTATTTTCCTTTGTACATTTCTTCTAATTAAAAGGATAATATTTATAAAACACTGGACACAGTGCCGATGCATAGAAAAAACTTAATGCTTGGTGGCATTTATGACTATCATGTTATTCTTACTTTTTCTTACACTAGGGGAAAATAAAATATATTTTGCCTGTCCATTCAAGAAGAACCATGTTCATAAGTGCCCAGACACATCCACGTGATGATCCCCACCTGTCCATAGATAGAAAACACATTTCTAGGCACAGATAATAGGATAAAGTTCACAATGGCTCATAAACAAGAGATTGTGATCACTTGAGGCTAAGCAAAAAGGGATAAGAAACAATAGCTAGTATGTATCAAATAGATATTTTCACATACCTGAACCCTTACAACAGTCCTATGGAGACAGACATTATCTTCAGCTCTTCTATTATATTTTATCACCACCAAATTGGCATGCAGGAGCTTAGAAGACAGAATTTTCTGTAAAAGTTTTTATTTACGGCATTCTTCAGCTTCTTGTTCCTTAAGCTGAAAATGATTGGGCTAAGGAAGGGGGTGAAGACAGTATAGGTGGTGGCCATCAAGGCATCACTGTACATGGAATGGAAGTCCTTGGGCTTGAGGTAGATAAGGGAGGCAAAACTATAGTGCGTGACCACCACAGTGAGGTGGGATACACATGTGGAGAAAGTCTTGTGCCGGCCCTCAGCAGAGGGAATCCTCAAGATGGCAGCCACAATGAAGACATAGGAGAGGATGATGAGGAATAAACAGCCTATCAGGGCTGTGACACACACCAGCATCACACCCATGATGACAGATGACGTCTTGTTCCCACAGGCCAACTTCAAGAGGGAAAGCACATGACAGGCAAAATGGTGGATCACGTTAGACCCACAGAAAGTGAGGTGAAAAACGATCATTGTCACCATGATCATCCCCATGACTGAGCCACCAGCCCAGGTCCAGGCCACAAGACGGGCACAGTCACGGGGGCTCATGAGCACGTTGTAACGCAGTGGGTGGCAGATGGCCACGTAACCATCATAACCCATGATCATGAGAAGGAAGGAGTGAGTGAAGCCAAACATGAAGGAGAAGAACATCTGACTGGCACAAGACACAAAGGTGATGGAACGATGTGTGGAGAGCAGATCGGCCAGCATGCGAAGGGTGATGGCAACAGTGAACAGAATCTCAGAGACAGAGAGGGCACACAAGAAGAGGTACATGGGTGTGTGGAGTCTGTGTTCAATCCAGATTGTGGCCATGATGAGAAGGTAGCCCCGCAACGTGAACAGGAACATCAGGAGAACAACAGCAGGAACAAGACAGGCAGGAGCTGCTGGGGGAAGCCTGAGAAGCCAAAGAGGATAAATTCAGACATGGTGCTGTAGTTCTGACCAGGCATGGATACTGTATCTGGTGAGATCAGAAACAAAATTAAGTGACAGTGGTTAAAACACAGAATCTAGCACAGACCAAGCGACAACTCAATAGCTCTATGCTGCAACATAGATGAACTTTGAAAACATGATGCCGACGAGTGACAGGATGAGGTAGAAGGAATAAACTCACCAGAGGTGAACATCAGGAAGTTCCAGGGACAGTGGAGAGGGGCAAGGAAGGGCAGTGCTAGAGGCAGATCAGGGAAGGCTCTGACATGGGTAAACAAGAGCTGAGATCTAAAGTCCAGAAACACCCAATGAAAACCAGCAGCCAAGTGGCCTCCAGTTACACAGAAAGGGAGAGAGAGGCCGATTGGAATCCCGAAAGGCCTAGCCTGAATCACTGGGAGGTTGCCAGGGGTCCGGTTACCAGGAAATCACCAGTTTCCCATGCCAGCAGCCTGGACCCACTCCAGCCTTGGGCAGTGCCTCTCACCATCCCAGGCCAAGATCCTCCAGCCCTGCCACCCCCAGCCTGGCACCTTCTGTCAGGACCAGCTTGTCCCACACAATCTCCTCTCCCCACCTGCTAGGAAGTCTTTGCCTCTGGCCCCTGATGTAGGGAAGGCTGTGGGAGGCTAGGTTAGGCTGGGCTGGGCTGGGCGAGCCAGTCCCCATAGCCTGGGTGTGTCTTCCGTGCCTGGGCTGACAACCAAAACCTAGCATCAGGCCAACTGGGTGCAGAGGATCCAGCTGAGGGTGACACAGCATGGGCACTGGTTCTGCAGGTCTCAGCACCTCCCAGGTGGGTGAGAGGGGATCTTGAGGTGCAAAGGTGACTCTGAGCCCCAAAGTTGACAACCACCCTGCCCTTCCAAGGCAAGGGTGTGGCAGATAAAGGCATGAACTTGAGAGTTCAGGCAGCAGGTGAGCAGGGCCAGGCCAACCCTTGTCCCAGATCATCTTCTGAGCTCCTCTCCACGTGTGGTCCAGGAGTTCGCCATACACCATTTCTCAGTTCAGACTTAGGAGATTCAGGGACAGAAGCTCCTGGCCTCTGGCTTCACAGCCTGGCAGGAGTTCAAGTCCTGCCTCCAGGGAACCCAGGGCCTGGGTGGAGACATGACTGACAGGAGCAGGAACAAACTACCTAACTGTGCTGGGGATTACCCGGTCCGATTCCAGAGATAAAGAGCCCTGCTGGAGGAGAATACCTGGAGGCTGGGCTCAGAATAGGAGGACAGAGATGGGGCATGGGAGGTAAGGCTGAGAGGGCCATGAGCAGATGGGGCCAGGGAGGGGAGGGCCGAGCCAGGAGACCCTGAGTGGAGTCCTTATTCTGCCTTCTCCTTGCTCTAACTGGGCAGTGCGCCCCTCCTGGACTCAGGCTTCTCATCTGGGAAATGGGACGTTAGATGAGGCCTTAGAGGGGGACAGAGGAGGGATCACAGGAAAATGGGCCTTAGACGGGGACAGATGGATTCTGAGGGAGCCTGAAAAACGGAATGAAGGGAGGGGCTGGCAGCTAGTACTTTAGCTGCTGCGTGTCAGTCTCTGCTCTTTGCAAAAGACAATATGCACTATTGCGATATACTGGGTGCTGGACTCTACATAAAGCACGCCCACCCTGTGCCAGGTACTCTGTATACATGTCGTGTACTGTGTGCCAAGCGCTCTGTGTAAAGTGTGCCCACTGTGTGCTGGCCGCTCTACAGAAAATCGTGCTTCTGTGTTCTTGGACCTCCACATAAAGTGAAATTTGTGCAGAGTAACTTATGTAAAGTGTACCTACTCTGCGCCTGCTGCTCTGTATAAAGCACACCTACTGTGTGTCAGATGCTGTACTTAGAGCATGTTTACTACGTGCCTGGTGATCTATGTAAAGTGCACCTACTGTGCGCCAAGCGCTCTACACAAAGTGTGCCTACTCTGCGTGCTGGGTACACTTCATAAACTGTGACTCCATGTGTCCGGTACTCTACATAAAGCACACCTACTATGTGCCAGATACTCTACATAAAGTGTTCTTTCTGTGTGTTGAGTGCTCTATATAAAGTAAGCTTACTCTGTGCAAAGTTCTTGACATAAAGAATGCCTACTGTGTGCAGGGCACTCTCCACAAAGCACTCCCACTGTGTGGCAGGGGCTCTAGGTAAAGCATGCCTACTGCGTTCCATCTACTCTAGGTCAAGTGCACCTGCTCATGTCAGGTGCTCACCTGCATCACCATGCCCAACGCCTTCACACCAACCTCCCCTCGGTTCTCTGAGCCAGAGTCCTGGGATTGTTGGAGAGACCTGAGTGATGGTATCCAGAGAAGGGAATGTATCCATTTAACACAAGGGCAAACTGAGTCTCAGAGAGGGCAGGCCTCTAGCCCAAAGCTCACAGGAAGCCAGGTTTGTGAGACCCTCAAGCCCAAACCTTTTTCCTCTGCCATGCTGTTCTGCACCCATTCGTTAGGGTCAATGTCATATTGATACAGGGACATTAATAACGAAGCAATCTCAGGCTATGTAGTGGCCCCAGAGGGGAAATATCTGGAGGCCCTTGGATCAGCACCTGGCTCCTCCTCCCACACACAGTATGCTCCTCCCACAGACCCAGGGCTCCCCTCCTGGCTCTCCCTGGATCCTGTCCAGAACTGCCCTGCGGGGTGGACTCAGGAGAGGGGGTGCTTGAAGGAGGGGGCTCCTAGCAGAGCTACTGAGCAGGAGGGCAGGGAAGACAGTGCTCCTGACACTGGCTGGGTGTTGGGGACCAGGAGAATGATTGCGGGGGATCCATCTTGGTGTTTGGGTCTGGGAAGGCACTCACAGGAGGCAGTTCCCAGCTTCAACTCTGTTTTTACTCTGGCCAGGACAAGTGGCAGCACCTGGCCTCGGAGAGCAGCACCAGACTGGACATGTTTGAGCACATCAGCCTTACGACCTTGGACAGTCTGCAGAAATGCGTCTTCAGCTTTGAAAGCAATTGTCAGGAGTGAATCCTTTCCTATGGCCTGAGAACTTGGGCCACGAACCCAAGGGAGTAGGTTGGAAAAGGATGACTGACCAGGATAAGCCTTTCTGAAGGCACTTTCTATGTGTTGCAGCTGGGCTTTGAAGGATGGGGAAGAGGAGAGAGAAAGTACAGTCCTTTCAAGTAGGTAGAAATATTTGAGTATGGGCAAGACGACTAGTATGAGGCAAGCATGCACAACAGACAGTAGAAATCATGTTGTGGAAGTAGACAGGGGATAGATTTCAGGACACTGAAAATCAGGAAAAGTGGCATGAACTTTATCAGGAGGTTCCTAGGAATCTTTTGAAGGGAGTTGGGCCGATGACAGGTGCGGTCACAGCTGAGCTCTGTGGAGGTCTGCCTGTCATGTAGACACGACATGGAGCTGACATTGGATGCAAGTCGGTGATGGTGGGGGCTGGGCCAGAAAGAGCTGGAAGACAGTGAGGTCTTGTGAGTTTTGTGAACAGTTTTTGGAAGGAAAAGAGTCCAGGCTGGATACTGGGTGGCAGAGACAGGAGAGAAGCATAGTGTCCAAGCTATGCTCTGGGTACCTAGGTGCATGGAGGCAGCTCTCAGAGATGGGATGCCTGGAGAGAAGGGAGTTTGGAGAGTCAAGTCTCCTGGCTGTTTTTGGATACTCAATTTCCTGGTGGACAGTAACTTCTAGCTGCTGGTGAGAGGTGCTCCTGGGACTTTGCATATGTTAAGTTGTTACCTCCCTCATGCAGAAAGCCCAGTGAATATATTGCTGCCATCTTGGAGCTCAGTGCATTTGTAGAAAAAAGAAACCAGCATGTTCTCTTGTACCCGGACTTCCTGTATCATCTCACTCCTGATGGGCAGCGCTTCCGCAGGGCCTGCCGCCTGGTGCACGACTTCACAGATGCCGTCATCCAGGAGCGGCACCGAACCCTCCCCACTCAGGATATTGATGATTTCCTCAAGAACAAGGCAAAGTCCAAGACTTTGTACTTCATTGATGTGCTTCTGCTGAGCAAGGTGGGCTTCTCTGGGCTGTGAATTCAAGTCACAGAGTGGAGATTTATGCCAATGTCAAATGAAAGAACTTAGACTTGATCCAGAGGGCAGTGGGAGCCATGGAACATGCTTGAAAAAGACAGGTCAGAGATAGGTTTGAGAGATGACTCTGTGGAATTCAGCTGGCAGGGGACCACTAAGTTTGAAATAGTGAGGAGCCTGAGATTTTACTTACATGTTAGTAAGTTAGTCTGACACATTTTAATGCATATCTATATGTCTATGTCTATATCTATGATGACAGATGCACCAAACCCCTGGATCACAGCAGCCTGTTTTAATCATTCACAGCAATAGCAGCCACCAGAGTAGGATTGTAGAGCTGGCTCTCCATTCCCATATTCCTCCTAGGGTAGCACAATGTTTTTACCTGTAAATACACCAGAAGGCACTGCAGAGAGGGGGCCCCACATTATACATCTTGGAGCTTACATAGGATAGCTAGCACATCTGCCCCTTCTTCCTTCCGGGGTGAGAGTGAGAATGGGAGAGAGAGGGGGTGGGGAGAGAGAGAGAGAGAGAATGTTTGCTTTGTTCTGGAGTAAAATCTTCTCCTCTCCAGTGAGATGTCCATGCCCGTAAGTGCATGGTGTTATAGATTTATAACGTAGGTGGTGGTGTTATAGGTTTATAACCCAGATGCCTTCTGGAAAGATAAGAAGGATTCTCTGAGTTTACCACTCTAGAATGTGAGCAAATATCTTCAGACAATACTCAATTTCTAACCTCCAAGCCAAAGTGCCATTGAAATATGCTGTAACCCAGGTTGCCAGTAAAGTCAACTTTACTCCAAAAGTCCTCATTATTCAGAGACAAGATAATATTCATAGGTCATTGACTCTTCCCAGCAGGGCCAAATAGGAGGCAAAGAAGGCAGCGGGAAAGCCCGTGGTTGGTGGGCTCTGATGGTGGTTACCAAGAGACATCTAGGAGTGCACGATGGGCTTGGTTTTCTGGAAGGAGGATGGATCTTCAGAAATTGTTTTAGGTTTGACTCAAGAGCCCCCAGAGCTGGTGTGATTTGGGGCAGGGGTATTGTCTTGCCTTCTCTCCAGGATGAAGATGAGAAGGAGTTGTCTGATGAGGACATAAGAGCAGAAGCTGACACCTTCATGTTTGGGGGTGAGGGTCTCAGTGTGGGACTACAGTGGGGACAGGGGCCTCTCCACCCCAGGGACGTGGTGGGTGGACCCTGGATCACTCCATTCTGCCCATCCTCCCGCTCCCTACATTCTCCCAAGAGCCTCAGTGTATGGGTGCTGTCCACCCTCTTGTGCTGAAGCAGCCCAGAAACCCAGTTTTGCTTGGCTGCCCCTCAGGCCATGTGGTCTCTCCTGGGTCCTATACCACCTCGCAAAGCACCCAGAATACCAGGAACACTGCCGGCAAGAAGCACGAGAGCTTCTGAAGGATCGTGAGTCTATTGAGATTGAATGGTGAGCGCAGGTGCTGGCCTGTTCCTGATCTTTTCCCATTGGTTCTGCTCCTCAGGTGGGGGAGTGGGGGAGGAGTTGTTTTTTGTCAGTTCTTCCATTATTGCTTAGTGGGAGTCAGTGCAAATCCCAGAGGCAGGGCTTAATACCCAGCCTGACCAGCAGGGGATGGTTTGGAGGCTTTTGGGACAGAAAGACCTGGGCACTATAGACTCAAAGGTGAGTCAGATCAAGCCCTTGCCCCTGCAAGATTGCTCATGTGTGGGGTGATGCACCTGTGATCCGACAGTACAGTCCAGGGTTGCACACTGAAATGAAAGCAGGCGCTGTTAATATTAACCTCCCAATTGGCAGATGGAGGTGCAGAGAGATCAATTCACTTTACCAAAGCCACACAGCCAGGGAGTGGATAAGCCAGGGTTTGAACCTGAGTCTGTCTGATATGAGTCAGTGCTGTGAAGCAAGGAACTATCCAGACTACGCTACAAGTCTCCCCTTCATCATTAATCTGTGTTTATGAGACTGAAGAGAAACGAACAATTCACAGTGGTGATCAGCTGATCTCTGTTCTAAGAAGAAAAAAAAAAGCCCCTGGAGCATGCAATTGAAGTGATGTCATGGGGTCTCCAAACCAAGCAATTAGTAAAATGTATCTGAACCTGCCACCTCCAGCCCTGCTCTAAGACTCTCAGTGCCCATCACTCAAAGCCCCCAGGTGTCTTTTCTGGCAGACACAACAGAGAAGAACATGGTTAGAGCCTTGATTGGTATGAAAGATCCCAGTGGGACAACTGTTGGCACAACTCGCCGAACTCCACTGCATAACAATCCCCAGGAAGCCAATTCTAAGTTTTGTTAGTGAACAAGCCATGGGACTTTCACTGACACCTGGGGGCTCATTAAAAGTTGACACACAATTTCCATCTCCACCTCATTTTTTTTTTTTTTTTTTTTGCAAATGAAAGAGTCTCTAAGGATCAGCTACAGAGCTGCAGAGAGATTAGGTTTGAATGTATAGCTCAGGGATGAGGTGGAGACGGAAACACAGGCTCATCTCACTCTGGGGAAATGGTCCCAGAGAATTTTCCACTTAGCCTTAGGTCCAAACTTAGGTGTCTGATTAGCAGCAAGAGACGTAGGTAGGCACTGGAAGTGGCTCTTTCTTCCCCAAGACACTATAGTCCCAGAGCTCCACGTAGCCCAATGTTACAGAAAGCACCACAGCATCTTGGCTGTCAGAACCAAAGCATGCAAAGCACTTGGTGCCAAGAGTGGCTCCTGTGAACATTTTGCGCTGCTGGAGGGGATGGAGGGGAAGGTCTCCAGAGCTCCGAGGTGGGCCAGGTTTCCGCTTCCTCCATCCTAACACTTACCACACTGTCCTTATTATATAAATGACTTATTCATACTTACTCTCTTTCTCTACTCAACATTCCCCACAAGAGGATAAGACCACACTGTATTTGCTCAACTTTGTGTTCTCACTGCCTGGCACCTAATAGATGCTCAGTAAATATTCCCAGAGAAAACAAATAAATGACTCTCTCATTGCAACCCCATTCCATGTCTGTGAGTTGCAAAACCCTTCCAAAATGTGGCTATTCTCTAGTTAATCTGAAATTCATTTTGTAGATGTGGCTGACATCATTTGAACCCACCTGCCCTTATGTGTACATCCCCTGTGTAGACGAGTGTCATCTCAGGTCTCATAGATTATGAGGAAAGGTCCACTGGATGCAAACCTCTGCCTGTCTTTTAGGCTCCATGAACCACTCCTCACTCCTTGCTGCCCAAGGTCCCTCTCCTATTGGCCTTCTGCTCCTTGGATGAAGAGTTATTTTCCCACCCTAAGTCCTTTGCACATGCCCTTCTCTCTGCTTGGTACACAACCTTTCCTCTCCTTCTGCAGAATAACTCAGATGAAATGCTACCTCCTCCATGAAGTCCTCTTCTATCAGCCTGCCCTGCTTTCTGAGGATTCATTTGTCTACTCCTGTAGCCACTGCCATCCCTTCCTTATGCTCCTCCTGCTCTTGTCTGACATTCAGTTATTCATCATCCACCTTCTCTCCTCCACTATAAAGTCCACAAGAACAGGCACTAAGTCTGTACTGGCCATTGCAGTCTCCCCAGCTCCTGGCTCAGTGATGAGCTCCAATGCTCTGGATACATCTGTTAAATGGGTGGTAGCTGAGGTTGAAGTTCCTCTGAGCTGGAGATAAAGGTTATCTCATGCACAGTCTTTAGGGGTTGAAGCTGGTCAGTGTCACCATCTTAAGCAGCCAGTGTGGCTCTTTCTATTTCTCTGTGTCACCAAAGAGCAGATCAAGCATGAAGTTTCCTGTTTCTACTAATATTTATTTTCAGGCAGTGCTCATCTCAGATGGAGGAGACCTCTTAAGCAAGAAGTTGACCAAGGCATTGAAGAGCCCTTCAACCCAACTCAGCCTTCCAATCTTTAGTGAAAATGTTATCCTATGAATATTTATGACACACCTAAAATGTGCTAGAATGGTGACTGCGACTTGGATTCTACCTCTAAGAGCTTCTGAACAGAGAAGGGAGACAGACCAGTGCAATAGTCATTCAGATACCCCAAGATAAATGCAATGAAAATGTTGCAGACTGCAGACTCCTGCTTACAGTCCCTTTCCCTTCTCTGAAACTCATTGAAGTGAAAAGATCCAAAAAGGGAATTCATCTAGAATAAATTACCATTAATACTAAAGAGAAACTGCCTGGCTTGTTTCACTTAACGCAGTGTCTTCTAGGTTCATCCATGTTGTCACGAATGAGAGGATTTCCTTCTTTTTCAAGGCTGAGTAGTAGTCCGTGTGTATTTATTACCTCATCTATTTATTCGTTGATGGACACTTAGGTTGTTTCCATCCCTTGGCTTTTGTGAATAGTGCTGCAGTGAACGTGGGAGTGAAGATATCTCTTCAACATACTGATTTCATTTCCTTTGAGTATATACCATACCCAGAAGTGGGATTGCTGGATTATATGATAATTCCATTTTTAATTTTCTGAGGAACCTCTATACCATTTTCTATAATGGCTGTACTCACCTACATTCCCACACACAGTTTACAAGAATTCCCTTTTCTTCACATTCTTGCCAACTTTTTTTTTATCTTTCATCTTTTTGATGTTGGTCAAAGAACATGAAATTTCAGTTAGACAGGAAGACCATGAGATCTATTGTGCATGACTATAATTAATAATAATCTATCGTATATTTGAAAATTATTGAAAGTTGATTTTGAGTATTGCCATCACAGAAAAGAATGATAAGTATGTGGGATAATGCATATGTTAACAGGCTTGAATAAACCATTCCACAATGTATACAGATATCCAAACATCGTGTCGTACAGTATAAATATATACACATTTTGCCAATTAATAAAATGAGTATCTGCCAGATTTCATGTATTTGGGATCAAATGGAAGAAACAGAGGAAATTGTCTCACAGTCCCTTACTCAAGGGCAGAATGCAGTGAAGGGAAGTAGATGGAGAAGATGTTTCTTTTTCTTTTCCTTCTTTCTTATTTTTTTATTTTTATTTTTTTCATTTTTTGGAGATAGAGTCTCACTCTACCACCCAGACAGGAGTGCAGTGATTTGATCCCAGTTCACTGCAACCTCCACCTCCCAGTTCAACTGATTCTCCCACTTCAGCCTCCCAAGTAGCTGGGATTACAGGCAGCCACCACCACTCCCAGCAAATTTTTGTATTTTTTGGAAAGAAGATGTTTCTTGAGGGAGGGATGAGTTCTGATCCACACCTCCTCACAGTTGTGAGCACAGGTTCTGGTGCACAGGAAGGGCTGATGCACGTTTGGGGAATGCATCTTCTGGAACTCATATTTTTCTGGTTATCCCTGGGTGAAGCCCAGTGGAGATGTTCAGAAATGCAAGGGCCCTGCCTGGCAGAAAAGCTGAGTTGAGCCACGAGGTTGAGGGTCAAAGGGACTTTTTGCTTATTTGCCACTCACTGCTGGGCACATAGTAGGCACTCAACAAATACTTACGGGGTGAATGAAGGAACAATGTGCACAGTTTAAGAAAAAAATGAAGGCTGGGTGCAGTGGCTCATGCCTGTTATCCCAACACTTTGGGAGGCCAAGACGGGCGGATCACCTGAGGTCAGGAGTTCGAGACCAGCCTGACCAATATGGAGAAACTCCGTCTCCACTAAAAATACAGAATTAGCAGGGTGTGGTGGCGCATGCCTGTAGTCCCAGCTACTCAGGAGGCTGAGGCAGGAGACTCGCTTGGATGCGGGAGGCGGAGGTTGGGGTGAGCTGAGATCATACCATTGCACTCCAACCCGGGCAACAAGAGCAGAACTCCATCTAAAAAAAAAAAAAAAAAAAAAAAAAAAATGAAATGGGGGAAAGGAAGTGGCATTCACCCCGACCAAACACCTACTCTGGGCCAAGATTCTCACACATAATGTGTCTCCTCCTGGAATAATCCAGCCCCATTTTACAAAACAGAAAATGAGATCCAGAGAGGCCAAGCCGCTGGTCCAGAGTCACGGCGCCCCCACCAGGCAGGGCCGCAAGATGCAGCTGGAACTGTGACCTTGGTCCTCCCACCTCATCCCCCGGCTCACAACTCACCTTGTTTCCTGTTAACCCAGCCTCCCATCCTCATTTCTCTGGGCACCCAGAAGCAGCAATAAAACACCTCTCTCCTAGTCCTGGCTCCATCTCTTGGCTTAACATCTGTCCCTCTGATGCCCCTTCCTGGTTCGAGCTGTGCCAAAGAAATGTCTCAGGAGAAAATATCTGCAAGTCCAGCCCAATTTCTCCAAATTCTGGGTCTTCTGCTGTCCTGGGAGGCTGGGCTTGGAGAAAAGTGTTGGCCAGACCCTCAGTCCAGGCTGGCATCTGTCCCTGCCAAGCTCGAGGCCCCAGCCGCTTCCTGGCCTCTCCTTCCAGCCTACCCTCCCCTTGGGCCCACAGTAATGATTCTAAGATGCCTCCAACTCCCTTCACAGTCTGGCCCCAATATGACTTCTCCAGCTCCCCTACCCTGTTGTGGGCACTCAAGCTGATTCCTCAGGCTG